TTGCGATGGCGANCGAGATACCTTCAGTGATGAGGCAACCTCCACATGGCTTGCTAAACAATTAGCAACTGAAATTAGAACTAATCCCGAAATTAAATTGCTTGGTCTACAAGAAACGATCAACACTAAATTCCACATAGAAGCCAGAATACAACAGTGTTATAGGATTAAGAGGAAGGCACTCGAAGACGTGGAGGGAAGTCATGCAAAGGCATATGAGATGGTAAGAATGTATGGAAATGAAATCCTTCGAAGCAATCCAAGAAGTCTTGTTGCCATAGAAACTGATGCTCCAGACAGTGATGGTAGAAGACCTTTCAAGAGAATTTTTATTGCTTTTCATGCTCTCACAATTGGCTTCATACAGGGTTGTAGACCATTCATTGGTCGTGATGGGTGCCACCTAAAAGGGTCATATGGTGGTATTCTATTGGCTGCTGTTGCAATGGATGGTAATAATGGGTTATTTCCTATTGCATATGGTGTGGTAGAGAGTGAGAGAACAGACAGTTGGACTTTTTTTCTTGGCCACTTGGCAGAAATCATTGGACATGTGACACATCCACTCTGTTTTATGTCTGATCAGCAGAAAGTATGTAGTTGTTTAACTCTACACTTGTTATTTTCAAAGTAGTATTATTGTGACGATTAAGTTGGTTTTTTTCCTGTGTTATTTTGATTGTTAAAATGCTGAAATTAGAATGTTAAGTTGCTGATTGTTAAAATGCTGAAATTCTTGTGTTATTGTGATTGTTAAAATGCTGAAATTTTTTCCTGTGTTATTGTGATTTTTAAAGATGTTATAACTATGGTTGTGAGCAAACTGTAACTGAAATACTGTGACAGTGCTTCTGTAATTGGGATATTGTAACTGTGATTATGATCTTCTGTTTAAATGTGGTACAGGGACTGGATAATGTCATAATGCGAATATTCCCACAGGCAAATCACCGTACATGTTGTGTGCATTTGCTTGCAAATTTTAAGAAGAAATTTCCTGGTGTATTACTTAGAAGACTATTTTGGAAGGCTGCTAAAGCCTATAACCAAGAAGATTTTAATGAAACAATGTTGCAACTCAAGTCTAAGTCTCCAGAAGCATACCAGTGGTTGCTTAAGCTGCCTATAAGCTCATGGGCAAGGCATGCCTTTGAATGTCGGATTAAGAGTGACCATGTGACTAATAACATGACAGAATCTTTCAATAGTTGGGTAGGATCACTAAGGTTGAAATCAATACTTACACTTTTAGACGGGATAAGAACTAAGTTCATGATTAGGATTCAACAGAGACATGATAGGGGCAGCACTTGGGAAGGGTTGGTCACAGAGAACATAAGGAAAAAACTTAACAAAATCATTGGAGAATCAAGGAAATGTTCTGTCTTGCATGCTGGTGGGTTTAACTATGAGATTATGGATACTGGAGTGAGATATGTAGTAAGACTTGATCAAAGAACATGTGATTGCATGGCTTGGAGTATATCAGGTATACAGTGTAAGCATGCAGCACAGGCAATTGCTCACAAAAGGTTGAATATTGAAAAATACTGTCATGACTTCTTCAAGACATATGCTTTTCTTAAGGCTCATGAACTAATGATTCACCCGCTTCAAGACCAAAGGAAATGGCCACCAACTATTGGTGATCCTTTAGTCCCTCCCCCTCTTAGGAGATTACCAGGTAGACCCAAAATAAATAGGCATAGGGAGGCAAATGAACCTGCAAGTGGGACTAGTGCTGCTAGAAGGTGTCTAAGTGTGAAATGCATCATATGCAAAGAGTTTGGGCATAATAGAAGGTCATGTCAACGAGCACCCGTCAAGGGTTCAAAGGTTAAAGGACAAGTTGATGGTGAAGTGGCTCAACAATCAACATCTCAAGGGACCACCATAACTTAGAATTGTGATGAGCAGGTATAATTTTTAGTCTATAACATTATGGTGATTATGATTATAATTTCTAATTTATTGTAATTTCTAGTATATTGTAATTAAGTACTAAGTAATGTTCCTTGAGTTGTAGGCAACCACTGGAAGGGAACAAACTGGGCTTGTCCAAGGCTGTGGGGAAGTATAAGCTGCTGACTCGATTGTGTATTTTGACTATTGACCGGGCATTTTTCTGTAATTTTTGTATAGTTTGATTATGATCCCAGGGATATAATTTTGTTAAAGCTCAAGTGTAAAATGATTTCACTGTTGACTGGGCTCTTTTTGTGTAATTTTTTGTGTAGTTTGACTATGATCCCAGGGATATAATTTTTGTAAAGCTCAGGTGTAAAGTGATACAATGCTAATTATATTTTGATGATCAATATATTATAAATGACTTCAAGTTGATGTACAGTAAATTAAAACAGTCTAACAAATTACAACATTAATCCTACAGAATAATCATAAGTTCAATATTTTGATAAATTTAATAACTGTAATGTTGAACTTCTACAACACTTTTGGACTTTTCCACTCAGTCTATCTACTGATCAAATTGGGTTTCCAATACTATAAATAAGTTGTGTAAATGATGGCATAGTCTATTTATACATAAAAGGGTAATTTTGGAATTTTATAAAAAATTTCAGTCATGTCATCCACTTTTTGTAGTATAGAAATGGACTGTTAAGTATAGGGGGTGTAAGTGAGGAGATAATACAAACAAGAGGGGGTGGCAGTCAAGTTTTAGAATCTATAGGGGGTGTCTCTGAAGATATGATTAACTACAGAGGGTGTGGATGAAGTTTTTCCAATTTTTATTTTGGTGTATTATTTTAATACCTAAAAAATAAAATAAAAAGTTAATAGTATTTTTGGTTCTTAAAATATATATTTTTTTATCATTTTAGTTCTTAATTCGTGTTATTTTGATTTTTATATAGACAAACTGTTAAATTTTTGACATAATGACCACATATTGGGTATGTGATACATTCTAAAAAAAGGACATCTGACTACTTTCGTCAAAAAATTTAATAGTTCGTCTATGTAGGAACTAAAATGACACGAATTAAATATGTTAAAGACCAAATAAGTAAAATTAATACATTAAGGACTAAACTGACAAAAAATATATACTTTAGGGACCAAAAGTATTATTAACCAAAATAAAAATATTTTGGCTTATTTCGAAAACAAAATGAAAATGAATACAAAATTTGAGAATTTATTTTTTAAAACATTGGTCAAAATATATTAAAATATCTTAAAACACCTTAAAACATTTTGAAACATCTCAAAGTATTCGAATTTCAATTCATCACTGATTTATTTATGTGTCCTTGAAAACGAAAATATTTTGATTGTTTGAAAATAAAATTTTAATCCATGATCTTCTTTTTTCTTTTATCAATTCTTCTCTTTAACTGAATAATTTTAATTATGCTTTTTTGATCTTATATCTATAATATTTATATAATAAAATACATATGAAGTTGAATTTTATCTTCTATATACTTTTTCCTTCAAAACCATTACATCACTCATTTTTATCACATATTCAATCATTTAATATTTGATTAATTTATAATTTAACATAATTTTTATTTCATATATTATTCATACACGATAATATATTGAGAAAATTTTATCGAATTACGTCCTTCAAAAAAGTTTTGTTAATATTTTTAAGAAAATAATGGGTAAATATAAATATTGAATATAGTGAAATCGATTTTTTAGGACTCGAATTTTATATTCTATCCTTTCTGCACGCACGGATTATGACTAGTATACTCATATTTTATGGAACTAGATATAATTAAACTCAAAATGTACAAATTTTTTCCTCATCCTTTGTTCAAACTCTGGACTAACCCCTACGAATAAATCTTTTTCATAAAGTTTCATTCACATGAACCCCAATGTTATTTCTTTTTCTTTGGAAGTGGCAACCATAGAGCATCCCTAATTAGGAAACTATACTTTTTTTTAAACCTCGTTTGATGATCTATTTTATTATTATTGTTTGATAATATATATTAAAAAAGGCCTAACCATAGCAAGTTAGCAACAGTAGATCTCTTTTTTAAACAAAAATATGTTGATTATGTGAAGGATTACATGATGGGTCGGTGTTATAGAATGGATGTTGAGAGAGGGTAAGGATGGAATTTACGCCAGAAGCCCGTAAATATTTGGGGGTGTTGTAAAATTACTACAAATTTGTATAATGTATTATTTTTGATAATTTTGTTTATTATTTGTATTTTTAAGTACAAATAATTAAATATTCCAAAAAGCGGGGATAGTTTTCTTTTTTTTGAATTTTTACGAAGGAGACAACGGTGAAATTCGAATCCGTAACCTTAACGGTTTAACTGCATGTTGCGATGGCCATTAGGCCAACTATTGATCCTCACAGATGATGGGTTTAGCCCGACATATTACCCACATTATAAGAAGCAGATCTGACCCGGCCCGCCCAATTAGTTTTATAGGAGAACACAACTAATAACTTGAAATAATATTAGGTTAAAACTAAGTATCAAATTTTAATTTTTTTTTGGTACATAAACTAAGTATCATTATCAAGTTGAGATCATCAGTATCTATCCAACTTGAAACAAATACAACTTTTTATCCATCATTTTACAATCACATGATTTCAAGAAGACACTATAACAATAAATAAAGGGAACCAAGAGCATCAACTTCCATTACTGGATAGAATGTGCCCAGGCTTACTGTCATCATCTGGCGTCAAAAAAGGAACTGTTTTGACACAAAAGCAACAAATATTGTCAAACAGAAGCAANATTTTTTTTTGGTACATAAACTAAGTATCATTATCAAGTTGAGATCATCAGTATCTTTCCAACTTGAAACAAATACAACTTTTTATCCATCATTTTACAATCACATGATTTCAAGAAGACACCATAACAATAAATAAAGGGAACCAAGAGCATCAACTTCCATTACTGGATAGAATGTGCCCAGGCTTACTGTCATGATCTGGCGTCAAAAAAGGAACTGTTTTGACACAAAGGCAACAAATATTGTCAAACAGAAGCAAGAGACTCAATGTATTCATAAACATCAGGCCATCCATGATGGTGCAAAGACTGCTTTCCGGTCATTGTCTCAATATCACAGAGTTTCCAGAAAGTCCCATTCACAAGATTGTAACGTATGGCCTTACCAGGAATGTACAATACCAAATATGACTCCTCATCTTTTTCTCCCCGAAGTAGAGAGAGTATAGAGAAATCATAACGATCAAAGGACACTGAATTTGGGTTACATCGTGTCATCTCAGGAAATGTTGTTAGAAGATCATCAAGATCAACAGAGTAATTCAAAAACCACTCAGAGTAGTCTTTCTTCATCCCATAAACACTGAAGTGAGTGTTGCAGGGGTCACAAACTTCAATAAGATGCAAATGGTCTTGAGACTCCCCAAAATACCTCCATGGAGTGTCAAAATAATGATTGCCGCGAATCTTACGCATTGGAATTTTTCCAAGGCGCTCTTCATCAACATTGAAATACAGTGAATCTTCCCATATGTTGATCCAGTTAATAGAACCATTCCAATAGACCCCATAGCCAAATAGTGTATCCTCTGTGTAAAAAGGTTCACCAGAAATCCTCCATTGGCCTGTCTCAGATGAGTAGATTTCAATCTGGAAATAGTCAGACAAAGGAGTGGTCCAAACACAAACAACTTTGTAGTGAGCTGACTTTGATGGATCAAAAGCTAAACACAAACCATAAACATCTCCTTCAACTCCCTCAACAGGCTGAGGTAGAGTAATGAATTGCTTTGTAGTAGGATTATAGACATGGTAGTCATTATCAAGCTTGTTTTCATTATAGGTAGCACAACATAGTAATCCCTTGCAAGAATGAAAGATATTTATGCCTAATAGGCCTGGAGAGGATGTGAGAGTTGAGAAGGAAGCATCATCAGTTGGATTTCTGTCGTCGTTAAGAGAGATCGAATAAAGTTCAGGGATGAAGGTGACTTCCATTCGAGTATTGATGCAAGAATAGGCCAGAGGGTGTGCTTGGGAAAGGGTATCTGAGTCGAGAGAAGTGGGGGCTGGTTACGAGGGAAAGCCAATGTTTGGAGACAGATTTGAATCGAAAGAGTGATCTTACGGGTAGATTTATAAGGATTTCGATCAAAAGGTCATCGTTGGCAGCAACTTTATCAGGAGATGACGTACATTCAGGCATGGAGGCTTCAGTTCTTGCTGACAGAATTCTTTCTTCTGGTAGGATATTGTGATCAGATCTGATTATGTGCTGATTGGTTATGAATTATCGGCGGATCAACCTCTTGCAGGATCGAGAGAGGGTTTTTGTGTTTGAAAGGCTCTGCAATGGGTGTTAAATATTTGGGTGCTTATGGGAACTGGGCATTGCAAAAGTCAATTACAATATGGTCCACTCAGAGGTTGATGATTTGTTCAACCATATGAAGTTTCAATTAAAAATATATAAGAGGAAAGAAATAAGAACTACCCAACTCAATGTCTTTTCCAAATCCAACTTGACCGTTTCTATTCATCTTTAACCTGTACAAACAATAACACAGTTGTTCTCTCCGTCCCCAAAATATTGCAAGCTGGATTTTACATAATTAGTCATAAAGATATAAGAAGATAATGCTCAACTTACAAAAATTATGCTGGTCACTGGTGTGAGCTTCCTGTTGCATCCTCTGAAGATTGGAAACTTGGGAGGCAAAATCATGAAGTTTCGACCGTTTTCATTGAAATTGCTTGCACACTCGAGGTTGCTTAGCTCTGGACTCCGGAGTTAAAAACATGAGAAAAGAATTGTTCCAATGTAGTTGAAGATTCAATGTCGCGTAATAAGCCAACCAGCCTTTCCGTGTCCCTTGTTTCCATTGATCTTGTAGAAAACCCATTTCAACGAACACCTTACCGTCGAACTTCTCAAGTTTCCGAGAGAGCTTCATTTGCAAGCTGAACATTGGCCAAAAATCCCACATACCTCCAATAGCTTTTAACGCACAATCCTCACTGAAGATTGAACAATAACAGGATGAAGAGAAAAGTATACCAAAAAAAAATCTATTTTTCCCATAATCTCAAACGCTTAATAGTACTACTGCATTTCCAATTTTGATAGAAAAGTGCGAAATCTTTGAGATCAAGTTCAAACGAAGCCGAATATCTGGGCAAATTGTCAGCTCACAGTTTTTCACGCGGAATTTCATTCCCCATACACTATTCCATCCTCCGCGATGAACACTTATTTCTCTTTAGGGTTAATCTCATTTTGTACCCTAAAAGATTGTTCAAATTTTAATTTATANTTCAATGTCGCGTAATAAGCCAACCAGCCTTTCCGTGTCCCTTGTTTCCATTGATCTTGTAGAAAACCCATTTCAACGAACACCTTACCGTCGAACTTCTCAAGTTTCCGAGAGAGCTTCATTTGCAAGCTGAACATTGGCCAAAAATCCCACATACCTCCAATAGCTTTTAACGCACAATCCTCACTGAAGATTGAACAATAACAGGATGAAGAGAAAAGTATACCAAAAAAAAATCTATTTTTCCCATAATCTCAAACGCTTAATAGTACTACTGCATTTCCAATTTTGATAGAAAAGTGCGAAATCTTTGAGATCAAGTTCAAACGAAGCCGAATATCTGGGCAAATTGTCAGCTCACAGTTTTTCACGCGGAATTTCATTCCCCATACACTATTCCATCCTCCGCGATGAACACTTATTTCTCTTTAGGGTTAATCTCATTTTGTATCCTAAAATATTGTTTAAATTTTAATTTGCACCCTAAAGATCAAAAATTTCAATTTATACCCTCAAAAATAAAAATTTGTATCAATGTGCATCCCCAAAAATAAAAAATCTCAATTTGCATCATCAAAGATAGAAATTTGTATCAATGTGCACCTAAAATTAAATTAATAAATTATACATAGATCCCCTCATGTTTGTCACTTAATCATTTGAACTCCTTTACATTTAGAATATTCTCCTTACATCTCATAACGTTTGTGCATGTGTAACACATAACTATTTTTTGTTGATATCTGTTAATATAATCGTTAAAAAATATAATTTTATCCTAATAAAAAATTATAATTTCATATTACCTTTTATTTTGTGGATTCGATATATTCTAAAGTTAAAAATCAAGCTTACCATTTGAATGTCTAATAAAATGTAGATATTTATATAAAAGGTAATATGAAAAACATTATATAAATATTTACATTTTATTAGACATTCAAATAGTAAACTAGATTTTGAACTTTAGAATATATTGAACCCATAAAATAAAAGGTAATGTGAAATTATAATTTTTTATTAGGATAAAATTATATTTTTTAACGGTTATATTAATAGATATCAATGAAAATGAGTTACGTGTTATACGTGTACAAATGTCATAAGATATAGGAGTAATATTCTAAATGTGAAGAGATCTAAATGATTAAGTGACAAGTATAAGAGGATCTAGGTATAATTTATCAATTTAATTTTAGGTGCACATTGATACAAATTTATATCTTTGAGGGTGTAAATTGAGATTTTTTATCTTTGGGGTGCACATTGATATAAATTTCTATCTTTGATGGTGTAAATTGAGATTTTTAATCTTTGGGGTGCACATTGATATAAATTTCTATCTTTAAAGGTATAAATTAAAATTTTTAATCTTTGAGAGTACAAATTAAAATTCGAACAATCTTTCAAGGTGCAAAATAAGATTAACCCTTCTCATTATCACTAATCTGAAATCTTGTTGCTTCTACTCGAAAAATCACTCAAATGTGTATTCAATCGCTGGCTCTCTCTCTCTCTCTCATCTCTCCAAACCCAACTTCCTCCATGGCCCTCGGGCTATCATCTCAATTGGCCAATTCCGACGAAAAGACACTCCGATTTGGTAGTTTGGTTGTATTTATTCTTTTCTTGGGGTTGAATTTCACAATCTTTCACAATCTCTCTCACTATCTGTCCTCCCTATNAGACGCTCCGATTTGGTAGTTTGGTTGTATTTATTCTTTTCTTGGGGTTGAATTTCACAATCTTTCACAATCTCTCTCACTGTCTGTCCTCCCTATCTCCCCAGCTCTCATACCCGACCCTATCTCCCCCATCTCTCTTCTCCCAAATTTTCATTTCTGAGTACCCTGAGTCACGCAATCTCTCTCACTGTCCTCCGGACCTCTCTAGCATCGTAACTCTATGTCGCCCTGACTCAAGCGCCTCTCTGTCTTCCCCCCCTTTTTTTCTCTGTTACCCCACCCATTTCTCTCCTTCCTCTCTCTGCTTTCATCCCTCCCTCTTCTCTCTCCCCTCTCTTTTATTTCTGCCCGACGGAGACGCGACCCACCGCCACCCAGCAATGCCTGATAGCAACCGCGACCCATCAACATCGACGTCGCCAGCGACACCCACCAATCCATCTAGGTATCTCCATCTCTCTGCCATCCCATTGACGATAGCAGCAATTAGTAGCGTTAATCCGGGCGAGTTTGCGAGCTTGAGCCCGAACAGTAGATCTCTTTTGAAACGGGAATGTGCGTACTTTTTGAAGGATTACATGATGGGTTGGTGTTATAGAAAAGATCTTCAAAGGGTTGGGCTGGAATTTACGCAAGAAGCCTGGAAATATTTGGGTGTGTTGTAAAATTACTACAAATTTGTATAGCGTGTTATGCTTATTTTTGATAATTTTGTTTACTATTTGTAATTTTAAGTAGAATGATAGTGAAATCTAATTTGTTGAGCTAATTTAATATAATATTTGGATTGATTATGAACAATATCAAATATTGAGATTTAGTGTTGATGCAATAATTTTATTAAAATTATATTTTATATCAGTAAATTAGGTCAGATTTTTATGTCTAAATAACATTATTCTTAGTGTAAAAAATTTAAGAGTAATACTATTTAGACCTAAAAATTTGACTTAATTTACTGACATAATAATCTAGTTTCAATAGAATTATTAGACCAACATTAAATTTCAATATTTGATGGACCACGGCGGATCCAAATGTCATATTTAATATTCTGAAAAGCAGACCATTGGTTCGGCCTGGGCCAAGAGATCTAGATACTTTCCCAGCCCAAGCCCGACATCTTACCCACATTATAAGAAGCTGACCCGGTCCATCCGATTACTTTTTCGGGCTAATTATAAATTGCACCCTAAAAAATTGTTTGAATTTTAATTATTACCTTCAAAGATAAAAATTCTTAATTTACACCCTAAAAAATAAAAATTTGTATCAATGCGCACCTGAAACTAACAACGTCAATTTGCTGTCTAAAACTAAATGGATAAATTATACCTAGATGTCGTCATATTTGTCACTTAATTATTTGGACATCTCATATTTAAAATATTACTCTTACATCTCCTGACGTTTGTGCACATGTAACACATAACCCTTTATTGTTGATATCTGTTAATATATCCTAATACAAAATTATACTTTCATAACTATTATTTATTTTGTGGGTTCGTTATACTCTAAAATTTAAAATCAAATTTATCATTTAAATACTCAATATAATGCATATATTTATATAATGTTCTTTATATCCAATGTAATACATCACTTGAATAGAATTATTTGAATGCCCAATTGGGAGAACATTTTTAATCATATTTGGATTCCTAAGAAATGTAGGCGTAATATTTCAAATTTGAAGAGTTTAGGTTAGTAAGTGATAAGTATGAAGGGGTCTAGGTATAATTTATTTATTTAGTTTCAGACGACAAACTAAGAGCTATTAACTTGAGGTGCGCATTTATACAAATTTCTATCTTTGTGGTTGTAAATTGAAATTTTTTATTTTTGAGAATACAAATTAAAATTTAAACGATCTTTCAGAGTGCAATNTGTAAATTGAGATTTTTTATTTTTGAGAATACAAATTAAAATTTAAACGATCTTTCAGAGTGCAATTTGAGATTAACCCTACTTTTTCCACCATAAATTTTAGGAGAACACATAACAACTTGAAATAATATTAGGTTAAAACTATAAATATCCACTAATACTATTGAGACATAATTTGTGGACTTAATGCATTATCATCATTAGATTGATAGTGTTGAGACCCAGTAATAATTTAATGTTGGAACCTATTGACAATCTAATGACTACAATTACTATGTCTCCAAATTATGTCTCAATAACATTGCTCCTAAATATCAATGAGTAATATTATTTGGATCTAAAAATTTGACCTAATTTATTGACATAATAATGTGGTTTAATAGAAATCATTGGATCACCAAATTCTAATGTTTTATGGGCTTACAATCAATTCAAAAATTACAATAAATTAGGTCAAATTTTTATGTCTTAACANTAAATTGCACCCTAAAAAATTGTTTGAATTTTAATTATTACCTTCAAAGATAAAAAATTTTAATTTGCACCCTAAAAAATAAAAATTTGTATCAATGCGCACCTGAAACTAACAACGTCAGTTTGCTGTCTAAAACTAAATGGATAAATTATACCTAGATATGGTCATATTTGTCACTTAATTATTTGGACCTCTCACATTTAAAATATTACTCTTACACCTCCTGATGTTTGTGCACATGTAACACATAACCTTTTATTGTTTATATCTGTTAATATATCCTAATAAAAAATTATACTTTCATAACTATTATTTATTTTGTGGGTTTGTTATACTCTAAAATTTTAAATCAAATTTATCATTTGAATACCCAATATAATGCATGTATTTATATAATGTTCTTTATATCCAATGTAATACATCACTTGAATAGAATTATTTGAATGCCCAATTGAGAGAACATTTTTAATCATATTTGGATTCCTAAGAAATGTAGGCGTAATATTTCAAATTTGAAGAATTTAGGTAATTAAGTGATAAGTATGAAGGGGTCTAGGTGTAATTTATTTATTTAGTTTTAGACGACAAACTAAGAGTTATTAACTTGAGGTGCGCATTTATACAAATTTTTATCTTTGTGGGTGTAAATTGAGATTTTTTATTTTTGAGAATACAAATTAAAATTTAAACGATCTTTCAGAGTGCAATTTGAGATTAACCCTACTTTTTCCACCATAAATTTTAGGAGAACACATAACAACTTGAAATAATATTAGGTTAAAACTATAAATATCCACTAATGCTATCGAGACATAATTTGTGGACTTAATGCATTATCATCATTAGATTGATAGTGTTGAGACTCAGTAATAATTTAATGTTAGAACCTATTGACAATCTAATGACTACAATTACTATGTTCCAAAATTATGTCTCAATAACATTGCTCCTAAATATCAATGAGTAATATTATTTGGATCTAAAAATCTGACCTAATTTACTGACATAATAATGTGGTTTAATAGAAATCATTGGATCACCAAATTCTAATGTTTTATGGGCTTACAATCAATCCAAAAATTACAATAAATTAGGTCAAATTTTTAGGTCTTAATANCTCTTTATCACTAATCTGAAATCTTGTTGCTTCTACTCGAAAAATCACTCAAATGTGTATTCAATCGCTGGCTCTCTCTCTCTCTCTCTCATCTCTCCAAACACAACTTCCTCCATGGCCCTCGGGCTATCATCTCAATCGGCCAATTCCGACGAAAAGACGCTCCGATTTGGTAGTTTGGTTGTATTTATTCTTTTCTTGGGGTTGAATTTCACAATCTTTCACAATCTCTCTCACTGTCTGTCCTCCCTCTCTCCCCAGCTCTCATACCCGACCCTATCTCCCCCATCTCTCTTCTCCCAAATTTTCATTTCTGAGTACCCTGAGTCACGCAATCTCTCACTGTCCTCCGGACCTCTCTAGCGTCGTAACTCTATGTCGCCCTGACTCAAGCGCCTCTCTGTCTTCCCCCCCTTTTTTTCTCTGTTACCCCACCCATTTCTCTCCTTCCTCTCTCTGCTTTCATCCCTCCCTCTTCTCTCTCCCCTCTCTTTTATTTCTGCCCGACGGAGACGCGACCCACCGCCACCCAGCAATGCCTGATAGCAACCGCGACCCATCAACATCGACGTCGCCAGCGACACCCACCAATCCATCTAGGTATCTCCATCTCCCTGCCATCCCATTGACGATAGCAGCAATTAGTAGCGTTAATCCGGGCGAGTTTGCGAGCTTGAGCCCGAACAGTAGATCTCTTTTGAAACGGGAATGTGCGTACTTTTTGAAGGATTACATGATGGGTTGGTGTTATAGAAAAGATCTTCAAAGGGTTGGGCTGGAATTTACGCAAGAAGCCTGGAAATATTTGGGTGTGTTGTAAAATTACTACAAATTTGTATAGCGTGTTATGCTTATTTTTGATAATTTTGTTTACTATTTGTAATTTTAAGTAGAATGATAGTGAAATCTAATTTGTTGAGCTAATTTAATATAATATTTGGATTGATTATGAACAATATCAAATATTGAGATTTAGTGTTGATGCAATAATTTTATTAAAATTATATTTTATATCAGTAAATTAGGTCAGATTTTTATGTCTAAATAACATTATTCTTAGTGTAAAAAATTTAAGAGTAATACTATTTAGACCTAAAAATTTGACTTAATTTACTGACATAATAATCTAGTTTCAATAGAATTATTAGACCAACATTAAATTTCAATATTTGNACGAGGGAAAGCCAATGTTTGGAGACAGATTTGAATCGAAAGAGTGATCTTTCGGGTAGATGTATAAGGATTTCGATCAAAAGGTCATCGTTGGCAGCAACTTTGTCAGCAGATGATGTACACTCAGGCATGGAGGCTTTAGTGACTCCTACTGGCAGACTTGATTCTTCAGATAGCATATTGTGATCAGATTTGATTATGTGCCTAGTGGTTTATGATTTATCGATAGATCAACCTATTGCAGGATCGAGAAAGGGTTGTTGTATGGCCATAAAACACTCAAAACTTCGTGTGTTTCAAATGCTCTTCAATGGTGGTCAAATATTTGAGTGCTTGTGGAAACTGGGCATTGAAAAAGTTAATAACGATATGTTCCATTCAGAGGTTGATGACTCGTTCAACCATATGAAGTTTCAATTAAAAATATATACGAGGAAAGAAATAAGAACTATTCAACTTGATGTTTTTTCCAACTCCAACTTGACCGTTTCTATTCATCTTTGATATTGTTCTTTCTAAGACTGGGATGAAGAAAGCATGTGCCATTGACTAATTCTGAGCTTTGGCTTTCTGAGAGTTAGTCCTGCTACAAAACTATAACACAGTTGTTCTGTCCGTCCCTAAAATATTGCAAGCTGGATTTTACATAATTAGTCATAAAGATATAAACAAGAAGACGTATGTTTAGGGATATAATAAGAACGTTGTGAGATCCCGAATTTTCTAATAGAAGTATTGAATTTAAGTATGTAAAAACAATGCAAAGTTTTGTGGAGGAAAACATAATTAATACTACACCTGGTGGCATATCTAAAATTAATGAAAAAAAAGGGGAAGAAAATTATAAATTGCATGACAAGTTTTGTTTTGGCTATACTAGACAAAAATGATGAAGAAAGAATAAAATAAAGAAAGAAGACAAAAGAAGAAAAATTAGAAGGTGACAGCTGTGTTGATGATATCGGGATTGCTCAACTTACAAAAATTATGCTGGTCACTGGTGTGAGCTTCCTGGTTGCACCCTCTGAAGACTGGAACTTGGTGGGGCAAAATCATGAAGTTTTGACCGTTTCCATTGAAATTGCTTGCACACTCGAGGTTGCTTAGCTCTGAACTCCGGAGTTAAAAACATGAGAAAAGAATTGTTCCAATGTAGTTGAAGATTCAATGTCGCGTATTAATCCAACAAGCCTTTCCGTGTCCCTTGTTTCCATTGATCTTGTCGAAGACCCATTTCAACAAACACCTTGCCATCGAACTTCTCATTTGCAAGCTGAACATTGGCCAAAAATCCCACATACCTCCGATAGCTTTTACCGCACAAACCTCACTGAAGATCGAACATTAACAGAATGAAGAGCAAAGTATACATAAAAAAATCTATTGTTGACATGATCTCAAATGCTTAGTAGTACTAAAGCATTTCCAATTTTGATAGAAAAGTGCGAAATCTCAAACTCGCCGAATATCTTTCTTTATCACTTATCTGAAATCTTGTAGCTTCTACTTGAAAAATCACTCAGTTGATTCAAATGTGTATCCAAAACCAACTTCCTCCATGGCTCTCGGGCTATCATCGCAATTGAACAATTCAGACGAAAAAGACACTATTTAGGAGTTTGGCAGGTTGGTAGTGGAGGAGAGAGAGAGAGAGCAGTTGTAAACCAGATGTCAATCGACCAATTCGGACGAAAAAAACACTATTTAGAGCAACTTCAACCGGGTATTATTTTAGTTAATCAAAATTTATATAATTATATAGTTTACGATTCAAATTTTAAAAATAAAAAAAATAATTTTTATTTTTTACGGTTCAAATCGTTTTAAATTTTATTTAAAGTTAATCTAACATTTAATATTGACACCTTAAATTTAATAGAAAAAATAGGGCTCACAGAGTGTGTTTGAAGTAATTTTTTAAAAGTATTTTCGAGAATTATTTCTCATAAGTATTTTAAAAAAATAGCAATGTTACATAAATTTAAAAAATATACTTAAAAACTAGACTTAATAATTATAACCATTAATTTTATTGTGAGTCCCAACATTTTTTGGGACCCACTATTTATTCAATGGTTGAAATTATTGACTCTAATTTTTAAATTTATCTAACATTATTTTTAAAAAAAATAGTGTTTGAAACCGCTTCACTGCTACTTCTACCACCACCACTACCTTTACTACCACCGCTGCCACCACCACCACCAACACCACCGCCGTCATCACCATCGTCGCCACAACCACCACCATTGTCGCCACCGCCACCACCACCACCACGGTCGTTGCCACCCATCATAACTATCACCGTCTCCTACTACTACTATTGTCACCCACCACCTCTCACCCCCTACTACAACCAATGTTTAAATTTATTTATCTCTCTTTTATATTTGTGATTTGATTTTGAATATAAATACAAATATATTTTTTATTTTTTATTACTATGTGCATTTAGGCACAGACAATAATTAGTATATTTAAATATTATATTTCTTATTTTAAAGAATCAATTTTACAAGTTCACTTCAAGCATGCTTTCTATTTTAGTTAATTACTCTAACTAATTTTCAATAGTCAAAGTTTTTTTAATTTGGAGTCAGAGAAAAATTGTAAAATCCAATCGGAGTGGGAGTTAGAGTTGGAGTTAGAGTCCGAAGACTTTTGTTTAAAAAACTCTGGCTTTGACTTTTATTAATAATTAATTTATATAAATTATAAATTACATACAATATTATTATTAATCTTAAAATCCAGTAACTTTTGTTTTTTTGGTCATTGTATCCTAGCAACCGTAAAGAAATTACATGATATATTATTGTTAATTTTAAAATCCTATCTCATTCACTCATTTGGGTTCTTGCGCCTCTACCCTCCATTGGAGCATACTAGTTCTACCTATGGGTGGAAGTATCTAGCCCCTTCAACTTCGAAGACTTTGGCTTCTTCACCTTTCCGTTCGCGTTTGTCTCTCCTATTGAAGCTTTTGAGGGTCTCTAATTTCGAAGCTCTCAAGGTCTCACCTCTGATTGATACCTAATATAGTTCTCGGCACGGGGAAGGAGAGGGGGTTTTAGTTTTGGGTAAAGAGAGAGATCATACCTGGGTGAAGGCAAGCTCTGATGAAGACGTTGAAGCCACAGTAATAGAAAACCAATCACAAAATTTGGCGCAAAGGAAACATAGTGAGTGAACTCACTCACTAGAAGTAGCAAGTGAAAATACGAGAGGTAAAATAGAGAGTGAAATAGAGAACCGATTGGAACAAAATTTTTGAGATTGACTTTTCGAAATAGCTAAAAATAGCTTTTACCAAACATGTTGGAGTTGCCCTAGAAAGGGATTTGGCAGGTGGTTTTCGGAGGATGAAAAAAATAAAAAGATAGAAAGGAAAGAGTGATATATTTTTTATCATTTGTTCTCTTCTTTATATTTGGTAAGAGGGAAGCAAAATAGAAATAATTTATTTTTTTGTGTTTGTAAGATAGAAAAGTATTTTTTTTATTTTTTATTTTTTTTAAAAAATATATAAATATATATTTTACCATTATATCTATATATAAAATTAATATATACATAATATATAATTAATATATATATATATATATATACACATAATTAACTTTTTAATTATTTTTTTCTTAATTTTGGAGGGATTGATTTTGGTAAGTTGGAAGGAAAGAAAATCTATCCGTTTTTTTATCCTTACCAAATATAATATTTTATCTATCCCTTTAATTTTTTCATTTTTCCATCGTACTAAATGAAATATTAGATAGAAGTTGTAAAAAATCCAAATGCCAAGAGTTTGAAATTTGTCAATTTTCTTAGGTCAGGCATCAAGATTTATTATTCTTGAACTCCATAATTCTAGTGTGAATGATTTATTTTTGATTAGATCGAAGAGAGAATCAACAGAAATGTGCGTAAATTGATACATAATTAAAACCTAACGATGCATAACTTCAATCTTTAATTCTCGAATAAGAGTAGGCTATAAATGGATAGATTTTGATTGAAATTTAATTCGAATCTACATTGGGTTTATCAAATCTTAATTGATATTCTTCGTTGATACTTTAAAATTTGAAAGTCAATTCATTATATCAGATTTAGCGGGTAAATTTTAATATAACTTAATTAGAATTTTATGTATGTATAATTATATAATGAGTTTGAGTAATTATTATTGAAATTTCTCTTTAGTGTAGGTCCTAAAGACGAAGGAAAACTAGAATGCTAATAAGCGTCTATTATTGAATTCAACGTTTGGTAAGTCACCAATCTGTATAATTTGTTATAATTTTTCATTAAGTTGTTTTGAACAAATTGAATTTTAAACAGATCTCAGTATAATCTATGAAAATTATCGTCGTCCAGCATTCATACAAACAAGTTTACATTTTCATGGGAAGTAGCACCAAATCACCATACTACTTCCATAATGATTTTGCCACGGTCATAAGAAATACAAAAGATTCTTGGATCCACAAAAATCTCAAATCACACTGACTTAATATGATTTGATATGAAATTAATAAGAAAGTAGAGCTATTTTTGAATTTTAAAAGCAAAGACTGGTTCAAATCAAATCAGAATAAAAAAGAGGATCAAGCTCGATTTAGTGATTAACATAATTTTATAATAACATGATTCCAAGAAGATACATTACAAAGTTATATAACAATAAAAAAAGGGAAGTAAGAGCATCAAGCTCCCATTATTGTGTTAAATGTTCGCAAACTTACTTTCCTGGTCTCGTGTCAAAAAACACTGTTTTCACACAAAAGCAACAAATATTGTCAAACAGAAGCATGAGACTCAATGTATTCATAAACATCAGGCCATCCATTATAGTCCAAAGAGTGCTTTCCGGTCATTGCCTTAATATCACAGAGCTTCCAGAAAGTCCTATTCACAAGATTGTAACGTATGGCCTTACCAGGAATGTACAACACCAAAAATGACTCCTCATCTTTCTCCCCCCGAACAAGAGAAAGTATAGAGAAAGCATAACGATCAAAGTACACTGAGTTTGGGTTACTTCGGGTCATCTCAGGGAATGTTGTCAGAAGATCATCAAGATCAACAGAGTACTTCAAAAACCACTCAGAGTAGTCTTTCTTCATCTCATAAACACTGAAGTGTGTTTTGCAGGGGTCACAAATTTCTATAAGATGCAAACGGTCTTGAGACTCCCCAAAATACCTCCATGGAGTGTCAAAATAACTATCACCACGAATATGACACATTGGAATTGTTCCAAGGCTCTCTTCATCGACATTGAAATATAGTGAATCATCCCACATGTTGATCTAGTTAACGGCACCATTCCAATAGACCCCATTGTAAAATAGTGTATACTCTCTGTAAAAAAGTTCACCAGAAATCCTCCAATGGCCTGTCTCAGATGAGTAGATTTCAATCTGGAAATTGTTATACAAAGGAGTGGCCCAAACACAAACAACTTTGTAGTGAGGGGACTTTGATGGATCAAAAGCCAAACACAAACCACAAACATGTCTTTCAACGCCCTTACGAGGCCGAGGTAAAGTAATGAATTGCTTTGTAGTGGGATTGTAGATATGGTAGTCATTATCAAGCTTATTTTCATTATAGGTACTGCAGCATAGTAATCCCTTGCAAGAATGTAAGATTTTTTTACGTGATTGGCCTGGAGAGGATGTGAAAGCTGAGAAGGGAGCATCACCATGTGGATATCTGTCATTGTCAAGAGGGACGGAATAAAGTTCAGGGATGAAGTGGTGACTTTAATTTGAGTATGGGTGCAAGAATAGGCCAGAGGGAGTGCATGGGTGAAGGAATCTGAGCCGAGAGAAGTGGGAGCTGGTGATGAGGGAAAGCCAATGTTTGGTGACAGATTTGAATCGAAAGAGTGATCTTATGGGTAGATGTGTAAGGATTTTGATCAAAAGGTCATCATTTGCAGCAACTTTATCAACAGATGATGTACACTCAGGTATGGAGGCTTCAGTGACTCCTACGGGCAGACTTGATTCTTCAGATAGCATATTGTTATCAGATTTGATTATGTGCCGAGTGGTTATGAATAATCAATAGATCAACCTATTGCAGGATCGAGAGAGGGCTGTTGTATGCCCATAAAACACTCAAAACTTTGTGTGTTTCAAAGGCTCTGCAATAGTGGTTAACTATTTGGGTGCTTGTGTGAACTGGCCGTTGAAAAAATCAATAATAATATGGTCCACTCAGAGGCTGATGATTTGTTCAACCATGTGAAGTTCCAATTAAAAATATATAAGAGGAAAGAAATAAGGACTACCCAACTTAATGTTTTTCCAAATCCAATTAGACTGTTTCTATTTATTTTTAATCCTGTTCTTTCCAAGACTAGGATGAAGAAAGTATGTGACATTGACTAATTATGAGCTTTGGTTTTCTGGGAGTTAGTCCTGCCACAAACCATAACAGTTGTTCTCTGTGTCCCTAAAATATTGCAAGCTGGATTTTACAAAATTAGTCATAAAGATATAAACAAAAAGGCGGTATGTTTAAAGATAGAATAAGGAAATGCTCAACTTAAATAAATTATGTTGGTCATTGATGTGAGCTTCCTGGTTGCATCCTCTGAAGATTGGAACTTGGGGGAAAATCATGAAGTTTTGGCCGTTTCCATTGAAATTGCTTGCACACTCGAGGCTGAATAAACGAGTAGAATTGAGTCATGGCTGTCGGCTCTGGACTTCGGAGTAGAAAACATGAGAAAAATATTGCCCCAATGTAGTTAAAGATTCAATGTCGCGTATTAAGCCAACAAGCCTTTCCGTGCCCCTTGTTTCCATTGATCTTGTCAAAGACCCATTTCAACAAACACCTTGCCCCCGAACTTCTCAAGTTTCCGGTGGAGGTTCATTTGCAAGCTGAACATTGGCCAACAATCCCACAAACCTCCAATAGCTTTTACCGCACAATCCCCACTGAAGATTGAACAATAGCAGAATGGAGCAAAGTATAAATAAAAAAAATCTATTGTTCCCATAATCTCAAATGCTTGGTAGTACTACTGCATTTCCAATTTTGATAGAAAAGTGCGAAATTGTTGAGATAAACAGTTACAAATCTCCAT